GGCTGGTGCGGGATCGGGCAGTGTTTCGTTCTGCTGTGCATGGGGTCGCTATGAGTCGGAAACGACTCGACGGCACTTAACAACAACAACAACAATGAAAACTCAAAGGTAAAAACTTTCTGCTTTAAAGCTATTTTTAAGCCTTGCCCAAATCTCTGTTAACTCTTCTTTGTAAAACACTTAGTAGAAACTCAACAGCATATTCATTTATTCACTCATTCAACTAATATTTATATGCCATATCATAATTCAGGGAGCTCTTTTGGATAAGGCAATTTGCTATTAACCAGAAGGTCAGCAGTTCAAACCTACCAGCTGCTCTGTGGAAGGAAGATGGGGCAACCTACTTCCTTAAAGATTTACAACCTTGGAAACCCAATGGGGGTCGCTGTGAGTCAGAATCTACTCAATAGCAATGAGTTTGGTTTTTTCAGTTTATTCCAGGTTCTAGGGATTTAACAGTGAACAAAAGAGATGAAGTCTCTTCTCTCATGGAGCTTTTATTCCAGTAGTAAGAAACACACAATAATCAAATATACCGATAATATCAGGTAGTGATAAGCAAAGTGAGGAAAAAGACGACAGAGAAAGGAGAAAGAGTGTAAAGGATTAGAGACGCTACTATTTTGGGTAGTATAATTAGAGAAGGCCTCTCTGATGGCATGACATTTGAGTTGAAGCCTGAATGAGGTGACTATAAAGCCACGCACACATCTAGAGAATATTAGGTAGAGAGACCAGGCAGTGGAAAGGCTTAAGGGGGAGAATATGCTTGATACATCTGAGAACAGTAAGGAGGCAAGGATGACTGAAGTGGAAAGAGCAGGGGAGAAGAGTTATAGAAGACGAATCAGAGAGGTGGCCAGGGGGACAAATTGCACAGGGCCACGTGAGCCATGGCAAGAACTTGGGTTTTATTCTGAGACAAGAAGCCATTAGAGTTTTAAGCAAGGGAAAGATGAGATTGAGAATAGCCTGGGAGAGGGGGTAATGAGAAAACAGGAAGACCAATTAGAAACCTACTGGAATAATCCAGAAGAGAAATGATGATGGTGGTTAGACTAGGGTATACTGATGAAAGTGGCAAGAAGTGATCATATTCAAGATGTATTTTGAAGACAGGGCTTGGAAGATGTGGCATGTGAAAGAAAGAGGAGTCAAAGGTGACAGCAAAATTTCTGGCCAGAGGACCCAAGTACCACTAACTTAGATGGAAAAACTAGTAAGAAAAGAATAGGTTTTGGAGGGAGGAAATCATGAACAATTAAGATACAGTATCTTCTTGTATGCTCAACCAGGTTGAAGTGTTAAAAGTGACTCAAAGAACCTCAGCATTCACTTGGTTTTATGCTCTGTGCACAACCTCATTCTCTTTGAAAATATTACTGGAAAGTGTCTGTTTGATATCTGCTAGAAAAACCAGAAGTTTATAAGTATAGCAGCAGCTCTTGCTTCTTGAACCTATACTAATTACAAGGCCCCATGTTAAGCACAGATACTATAGCTATTTCTCACATGTATAAGGACTTAAACACAGTGCCTGGAACATGGCATGAATGCTGAAATGAAATGCTAGCCACATTATCTCTGAAGCCGGTAATATTTTAATGATAATGTTAATGATTATTTAAACTTCTAAAAGCTCTATTTCATTCTTTTACAAATCCCACAGTTTATATTATGATTTCTATTGTTTGTTAGGCTAATTAAGCAAATTTTTTTTATTTCCTATTCCACAGGCAGGGGAGCCTTGCCAAAGTCCTGGCTTAATGTAGGTCTCAGTTTTAACTGCCTCCTGAAGGCCCAAAGTCTTATCTATTATGTCTGTGTGAGCATTAAAACCCTAATACCTAAAGGCAGTTCCATATCCCTGTGGGCTGCTGTTTGCTCAGTTTACATGCACACTAGTTTTGAGCTACTTTGTTTCAGGCATTTGAGCATTTCTATTTTTTTTTCTTTCACATTTATTTAGGTAGTGAAATACTTTTTGATTTATATTTTATCCAGTATTTCTGTGTGCTTAAAGGAGGATGGGTGGTTTGATTTAGCTCAGTCTGACATATAACCTGAACTGGAAGTACAGTACTATTTCACAGATGAGGTTAATGAGCCTTAAATAGGTGAAGTAACTTTGAACTCAGTCTTTCTGATTCCAAGCACTATTTTACCTAGTAAATAGTGAAGCATATCCACCACTATATCTGCTCTGATACACTGATCTCAGTTCTACCCTCTGGAATCAGGAAAAGTAAATCCGAGAATCAGTTTTTTATATACCCTATCCCACTGCCACTGAGTTGATTCCGATTCACAGTGAACCGACAGGACAGAACAGAACTGCCACACAGGGTTTCCATGGCTGTAAATCTCCACAGAAGCAAAATGTCACATGCTTTGCCCACAGAGTGGCTGGTAAGTTAGAACTGCCGACCTTTTGGTTGGCAGTTGAGCGCTTTAACCACTGCAGCACTAAGGCTCCTTATGTAGCCTATAATGCAAAACAAACGCAACACACTGCTGCTGAGTTGGATCCAACTCATAGCGACCCCTCCTTGAGTTTCCAAGGCAGTATCACTACAGAAGTAGATTGCCCACTTTTCCTTCCAAGGGGTGGCTGGTGGGTTTGAACTGCCAGTCTTCTGGTTAGCAGTCAAATGCCTTAGGCACCACGCCACCAGAGCTCCCTATGTACCCTGTAAGAGTATGAATATAACTATTTATTCTGTCCTCCACTTACCCCTACCTACAAATTCCAATTACTTTGTTTTCTTTTAAAAGGCAACTTTATTTTAATACAAGCACAAGGAAATACTTAAAAAATAACATGAAAGACATCATACATATGATTTCAAGTGATAAAATCAAGTGGCTTTTCTTCATAAATGATTAGTTTTCTTTTAGGGGATTACTGACTGTAATAACAAAAGCTGAAAGTTAAAGGACAGCACAGTAGAAATCATGAAACCTCAGTTCTACCACTAAGTAGCTTTAAGACTCTAGGTAGGCTACAACCTCTGTGCTTTGCTTTGTTTTTCAAATGAGGATAATCTCTTTCTTGGAGTTTAAGGGGCCAATGAGATTTAACTAATGGGCTATAATGTAAATGAAAAGCACTTTGGGGGAAAAAAAGGTAAGAATTATACAATACAAAAGAACATTTCATTATTGCTATTCACCTACTACATATGTTAATAGTTTGACCAGGAACAGTGAGATATTAACTAAGCAAAAGAATCTAAATTAATGCAAAAATATCTTACCTTCATGTTGCAAGCTAATTCCATTAGTTTTTTTGCATTTTCTTCTGAACGATATCTCTTAGGGAGCTGAACCCTGAAGAACTTCAAGGCACCTTCAAAATCTGTCAACAGCAGGTCATCCTTGGAAGTCTTAAAGAAGACAGTAAGAAAATGCAACCATGTACAGAAAAATTTTTTTCTATGAAGATGCCCAAGAAGCCTTTTATAAACCCATTTCCCTTCTAATCCCTCAGAAGATACTTCTTTGCCTTTGTCAGAGCCCCTTCTATGTATCAAATCTCAGGGAAACTCTTGAGAACGGTTAAGTGGCTGCTTAGAATGAAAATCAGACCAGCATACTGCACGTGTTCAAAACAGAGAATGCCAGATAACTCAGCTTATGAATAAATGTGTACCTTTAATAATCCAAGGGCGACATTAAAAATAACACTTATTCCCTGAAAGAGAAAAGACAAAATGAGTATTTTCAAAATTTACATCTGAATTATTATGCTGTTTGTCCTCAGAATACCTCACAATTTTAGAGATATTGTGGAAACTTAAGTAAGGAAATGGAGTATCTTGGTAAATAAAAATTGCAGGGCCACTTAGGGTAGACTCAGGCTCCCGATTCTGAGAGGAAAGCTTTTTTTTCTAGTCCTTTCTAATATTCAACAAGAAAGAATCCTTTTCCCAAGTAGTCTATGCTTCCAGATCAGAACACCAAGTCAGAAAACTGTGATCCATCAGGAAATATCTTGTGCTGTCCCACTCCATGTGTAGCAATCCTGCTGTCCCTAAGCTCTACATCTATGAAGTGACACTGCTCAGGACTCCCTGCACTCTTTCTTCATCTAACCCTTGTGGGAATGCTGGGGGCAAAGGACAAACACAGGGTGACACTAGCATCTGCTGATCAAGTTAAACTGGTTTGTCTTAGGGCCTCAGTTTCCATAAAGGATTAATACTCTCCTAAGGATTTTCTGAGATAATTAATAAAATTTTTATGTAAATTACTTAGTATGCCACCTGGTCCTTAATGAATGGCTGTTGGTAATAGCTGAAAATCAGACACAATTTTAGTCTGAGATTAGGAGTTGTTTGCATAAATTATGGCACATCCAAGTAACGGAGTATTTGGGAAGCTGCTAAAAATGATGGTATACTTGGTAATGTTTATTTCTTATAATGCTGCTAATTATATTTCAAGCTAGTGATAGATAGCAATTAATTATGGATTTTTGTTATGTCTTGAATATGGCACATTAAATAACAATGACAATAAATATCTTATACAAAAAAATAAATATCTTATAGATGTTCAAGTGTAAGAAATGAAAGAGATTACAAGCATCTTAAATTCTTTTTGCTTATATTTTTTACAGTTTCTATAATAAATATATATTATTTTGACAATTAAGTAGTTATTCTTTTTTTCTTAAACACACACATGACATACAAAACTCCAAACAAATGTTGTGGCAAAGACTGTTATTTATCCTAATATCTACTTTCTTTTTAGAAACAGAACCCCCAATTTTTAACACATTTCTACCCAACTAAACAATAATCTCCACTGCAACTAGGCGAAGGAATATAACTAAGTTCTGGTAAGTAAGAGGTAAGTGGAAATGGTGGGTAAACTTCCACTTACGGGTTCTCTATTTTGGACTTTTCTTCGAGGTAGATGATTATTAACCTCCCCTGTCTCCCAACCCTCCTGGCTTGAATATACGTGTGATGACTGGAGCATACTCAGCTGTCAGGAAGAAAGTCATACTCTAGGGAAGGCAGGTTACTGCCGACCTTCTGAATTCTTTTACTTGAGAGAGAAATAAACCTCTATTTTATTCAGATGGCACTATAATTTTGGGTCGCATCATTAAATGTAGCCAAATCTAATACGAATTTAAATGTCTAATATTTCCTTTCTTGGCAGAGAACACTTTTAACAAAATGTGATCATTAGCTGTAGCCCAGTGAGCAATCTTCTAAACCTGATTTTAGCATTGAAATAAAATAACCGACCGGGACAAATTCTGTTTTGACAGAGCTTACACAAGGCCACTACGAACAAAAGTCTGATACATACCTCACATAAAAGTAGGTCGATGATATGGAAGACCATGTAGAGAGGGAATTTTGCAGTGAAAAGTGTAAGAAACCACTGGGAGGCATACATGTGTGCTTCAAGGCTTATATCCAGGAAGTGGTTGTACAGGTCAGGAATGTACTCCTGAAAGAGCAAACTAATTAGTTTTGAGCACATATGCAGCTGTCCAACTCCCACTCAAGGGTCTCACAAATCTGCCAAGAATAGGCCAAAAAAGTCGCACTGTTGTGTTTTTCTAAAAACTTCCATAGTGGTTATTAAGCTGGTACTTAGCTTTCTTTTCTGGACCAAAAATCATCTCTAGAGAAAGAGAAATCCCCAAAACAAGTATTTAGAAGGCCAGTTTCCCCCCCTACCCCTAAGTTATGAATGTTTAGGAAAGCTGTTTCACTTTTGTTATGAAATTCCTAACTAGTCAGCTTTAGAGCTGTGGTAAATTTTCCCTGACGGACTTTGCTGATGGACAAAATCATCTGACCTTCTGGGTGTTTGTTAGACTGAAAACCCAGCTCACATCTGTCAAGTTCATATCTTACTAATCTTGGCACCATCATCACATAGTGAGAAATGACAAAAATAAAACCCGTCCTTATCCGTGGATGGCGAAGGCAATTACCACTGGTCCCTGACACTCTGCATCATCAACCTAGTTCTCCTTAGTCTTGCACTCTTGTCAGAGGCAGGTGGGTTTCCCTTCTTACCTGCATGAGGCGCTCCAACTGGTAAAATTTGCAATGCAAATCTTCAAAGTTTTGCTTGAAAAGTTCCCTGAGGCCATAGTCAAACATGATTTTGACCAGAACACTGAATGCCTGTTCTTCAGGCATCTGTAAAGACAGGGAATGAAGAAATCAAAATCATAAAACATATGCCAAAGTTTTCTTAGTATACGAAACTCTTCCATTTACTGTCTTACCTAGCTATCAGGAAATTCAGTGACAGGCAGCAACTAAGACCTGTAATTGTGTTTTGTAACATTCACTCACTCATCCAAAATATTTAATGATGTGGTTCTCTGACACTGTCCTCAAGAAGCTTCCCATACAACTAGTATATGATAGGATATCGATAATATTAGGTAGAAAGACCAGAGGGAACACAGAAGCATGAAAGTCTAAGTTTGCCTAAGAGAGTGAGGAACAGATTTTGGAGGGAGGATAGGATCTGAGCTGGGTAAGAATAGGCTGATAGATAAGTATAGGAGGAGGCAGAGGTCTCATCTTTCCTAAACTGTCATGCATGAAACCTTTCTTAAATCATCTTAACTCCCCCTTAGAGGCTGTTTCATCCTAGTGAAAATGTTTTTCTTCCTCCTCATTGTTAAAAACATAGCTAGTTAAGAAGAATGCTACCTATTCTAAGTAATGGTTAAGCCTTCAATAATGTTTAAACCAAAGTACCACAAAACCCTATTTTACTTTTGTTTACTAATGTTACCTATTATAATAATACCTACATCCTCCAGAGCTGTAAGGAAAAATTATTACTCATAAATCTAGCAAGATGTCTAGTATTTAAAAAAAAAAAAAAAAAACACTGGAAATGTTATTTAAGGCTTGGTGTGACTGTAGCAAGCTTTCAAAAAAGTAAAGAAGGTGGGTGGACTTCTGCAGAACAAGATGATGAAGGTGGGCTGAGCATAGAAATTACTGAGAATAAAACAGGGCTAAAGAACAAATCAGATAATAAACTAGAGAAACATGTTGTTGTTGTTGTTGTTATGTGCCATCGAGTCGGCCCCGACTCATAGCGACCCCTCCTTGGGTTTCTGAGGCAGTATCACTACGGAAGTAGGATTGCCCAACCTTCCTTCCGAGGAGTGGCTGGTGGGTTTGAACCGCCAGCCGTCTGGTTAGCAGGCAAGTGTCTTAGCCACTATGCTACCAGAGCTCCATAGCAGGGTATTATTGAAGAGTAAGGGAATTTGATCTCTGAAGCCTTTGATATGGAAGGCAACCACATTTTCCCATATCACCGAGAAAGACCAGGGTGGCATTTCTGATGTTAGGCACCCCATTTCCCCTAACTCTGAAACTAGCATTTATCTTATCTGATGACACTACTAGATCTCTAATGTAATCCAAACAGTAACATTGTATCAAAGCAGCACAGAGTTCAACATAAGAGATCATGCTTTTGACCAGGAAACCATTTTAAAAGAGGGGTGATACTGGAATGGGGCTAAATTTTCTTGGAAAGAAGTTGAGAACAAGATGAAACCAGACAGGCTTATGAGGCTTTGAGATATAAAATGTGATTAAAAGATTAAAAAAAAGAAACAAGACAAAATTTAAAAACCGAACCTCTTTAATAATATCATAGCTTCAATATAATTTTACATGGCTACCAACCCAACAAGCTAGGTTCACCTTAAGAAAATATAGAGTGGGAGTTCTGGTAAGATGGCAGAATAGGCAGAAAGATTGCACAGACTCTCTTCAACAAAGAAAAGGCGAACCAATTAACACATATACAGAAGATAACCCTGGACCCCTGAGCTCTGAAGGGAAGGATATAGAAATGGACTAAACTACAACTACTAGAAGAATTTGCATGAAAACACCAAAAAAGGACACATACGCAGCTGCGGTCTGGCAGTGATCCTGACGGCACAGACAGCTTGGATATTGCCAAGTGGTGTTAGGACCTAAGAATTAACCTAAAAATTAGGGCTGCTAGCCAGGGAATGCATGGGGGACTGCATAGTGGCTGGTGAATAAAAGGGGAAGCAATGAAGAGGAAGGCGGGCTGAGCTGTGCATTTCTGCCTGTCTGGAGGGCACAGCCATTTTGAATGTTTACAAGCAGTTTGACCATCTTGGATACTTAAAGTGACAGCATTCTCCCAGATTCCAGGAAGTTAAGAACAGGCTCCATTTCCTGGGAACCATAAAGATATCTGGACACCAATGACTGAAAAGCTTCACTTACTGAGTGAGAACCACCCCTTCTCTGCCAACTGGCCAACAATAAATAACCACGAAGAAGAGACTGACTCACCCTCAGCTGCTCTTCAAAAACAGTTAACAGAGATCTAAATAGAACAACATCACAATGTCTTGGAGACAACAGACCATTGCAGTCCACACAAAGAAGCAAGATAAAGTGGTAGAAACAAGGGAGCAGGATACAGACCCAGAACACAACCCTGAGGAAAAAATAGCATTGGAACTCCCCGGTAAGGAATTCAAAAGAATTATATTTAGCTACCTTCAAAGGACTGAAGGACACATCAAGGAAAACACTGACAAATTAAGGAAAACACAGACAAAACCCTAGACAAATATTGAAAGAAAATACAAGAATAAAATGACTGAAGTAAAGTGGAAGAAGATAGCGGACTAGGCAGAAAGACTGCACAGACCTTCTTCAACAAAGGAAAGGGAAACCAATTAACACAGACAGAGAAGATAACCCTGGACCCCTGAGCCTTGAAGGGAAGGATACAGAAGTAGACTAAACCCCAACTAGCAGAAAAACTTGCATGAAAATACCAAAAAAGGAGATATATGGAGCTGTGGTCTGGCATCCTGAGCAATCCTGACAGCAGAGACAGCTTGGAGATTCCCGAGTGGTGGAAAGACCTAAGAATTAACCTAAAAATCAGCCCTGCTAGCCAGGGACTGAACGGAGGACTGCTATGGTGGCTGGGGAATAAACAGAGAAGGTGAAGAGAAAGGCAGGCTGAGCTGTGGACTTTTGCCTGTCTGGAGAACGCCACCCTTTTGAATGTTTATAAGCAGCTTGACCATTTAGGATATTTAAAGAGACAGTGCTGTCCCAGATTCCAGGGGCTTAAGAACAGGTTCTGCTTGCCAGCAACCCCAAGGACACACCAGACCTGCATGACTGAAAAGGTGTGACATTCCTCGTTACTCTTATACCCCATACCCGCTTGGTGAACAGAGGAGTGGCCATCCCCCATTCCCACCCACCTTCTGGGCCCGCAGGAACTCGCATCCCCGTCTGTGTGCTTGGAGGGAGCCTGGGTGCCCTGCCCTGTGCTCCAACAATTTTTTTTCCCTTTTTTTATTTTAATTTTTTTTCTCTTTCACTTTCTTTTTTCTGGTGTTTAGTTTGCTTATATTTGTTTAAAAATTACTACTATTATTAACACTTTTGTCCTTTTTACTATTATTCTCTATTCTTCCCCTCCCAGGTCCTAATTTTCAGCTTGTGTTCTTTTCCCTGTTCCTGGATGGAAAAAAAAAAAAAAA